TAATTGACCTTTTTACTTTTTGAACATAATCTAATAAAAAAAAAATCCAGAATAATTTATCCATGTTTCTGCTATAGACGAATTATAGTTTTATATCAAAATTGTCATTATTATTATTATTATTATTATTATCTACTTTTTCAGCTTGTATATGTTGAAAAACACCCACATACACTGACACCATCATCTTAATGTTGCGAGGAGATGATTATGTACATCTAAAACCACTACATGAATGTTTTCTCCACAGAGCCCAAGCACACACTGAGCAGCGAGCCAAACAGCCGCATTGTGGAGGTCTCCGCTGCCAGAGTGACCAACACCGACATCAGCTTCCTAGTGAAATATCTGGGCAAGTGAGTATATCATTATTATATTATCAACTTTGTTAAACAGACTTAGTTTTTATTAGTGTTTTCCTGACTGCTGTGAGACGGCAAGAGCTGCACTACTGCTGTGTTTGGTCTGCCTCAGTCTGCTTTACAACACATGATGCACACATTAAGTGGTTGTATTTATTCCCTCTCAACCTTTGGGTGAGATCTAAAATTGTAACTTTAAATACAGCTTTCAAGTGTTTAAACTGACTCTCATATGTATGTACGGTATGTATGTCCGAAACTCCATATAAATTATGTTTTAAACATTTCTAGCTCATACAAAATGATGAATACAACAAAAGATGAATGACTGTCAGTTAAATGGTTGTTTTTGTAGATTATGATTACATTATGTTAATATTAAGTCACAGTCAAACATTCACACTCATAAGTTTTCAAGGAAATTAGATTCATCTTTGTTAAAGTTAAGTATGAAAAAGGATGATTATATTGACCTTCAATGCCCTTGTCCTCAGCATCCCCACTTCAGCCTGCACCATTGTGTCAGACCACACCTGTACTCAGGTGCGCGGCATCATGTGTGACGACGTGCCGCCATCATCGCAGTGTGAAGTGCGCCTCATGCGATCGTTTCCAGAGCCGGGCAACTACTGTGTCAACATCACCCTGGAGGACTCCAGGAGCCTGACCCTGACCACCACCACCGTCACCATCAACAAGTCCCAGGATGCACCTGGTCGGTTACACAAAGATATCTTGACTATGCATCTTCACAATCTTTCTCTTTTTCTTGCAGCTTTTTAGGAAGTGGACATATTGATGTTTCCGGTTTGGGTTCATTACTGTTCTTTCCATCCTGCAGTGTCCAAGACATCACACCCTGTAGAGGTGGTGCTCTCTTCAACCGCCGTGCTGGTGGCTGTCTTTGCATTCATTGCCTATATGGTCTGCAAGTGAGTAGTTTGTGCCTCCACATACACACTAATTTCTCTCTGTTAACCACCAAATATTCCTTCCATCCTCTCACCCATTATCTCGCTCCTCCCTCTCTCCAAGGCGTCACAAGGTGTACCGACCCATTCGTAGGCCCCTGGTGGATGATGCCTTTGGCCATGCTGGGGTCGGAGGTCGCATGGTCCGTCTGAGGGAGGCTTTCTTCCCCTCCAGCGAGGAGAACCACCACCTGCTGACTGAGAGACGCCCCCTGTAGGCTCCATGAAGCTGCACCAAAGCATTTCAGCCCTTAATGCTTAGTTTAATCATTAAAAAGTCAAGATAGCAGAATCATTTTCATGTCTGTATAGAAATACTATTAAAGGAGTTCTGTGTCCTAATTTAGTTGTTAAATGTTGGGTAAAGCTACTGCAGTGTATGATTGGCAAGGAGTTCTCAAAGTAGGCTGTGAAATATCCAAATCAGGCACTGCTCCTTTTTATTTCCTGTTTTGTGTTTTGTAGTTGCTAGGAGATGAACTGGGTTCAAGTAGTGGCCGTTTATTGTTCAAATGAATCGCTTTTGTGCAAACTGTGTGGCAAGTGCTGCTTATAACAGTTAAGTACGAATTCCTTGAGATGGTTTTCCAATATAAAATGTATACTACAGTGACAAGTGCATATCTAAGGTAATAATGTAATGTTTTTTACTATTCAATAAAATTACTATCTCAAGGTTGAAGCATTTGAAAGCCTGTGATGTCAACAAATCAACCATGGCAATTTACCTTGAGTGTATCCTTGACAAATGTTCTATACCCTCACCGGTATACATATGGAGACATGCGTTTCCTCGTTTGCTTAACATAACACCAGCTCTTATAGTCGTTTCCAAAGTACACACTACATATAGTACCAATTCTAAAAGGTCTTTATGTAGTGTGTTTGAACATGAGAAAAATAAACACTCAGAGAGAGGTGTCTACATTATTACCTTAGATATGTAAGACTCTTTCGAGGTGGTTAAAGTGAGGATGGGTTGTTTGGAAGGGACTGAGAATTTCGAATTTTCTAAATCTGGAGTTACCTTCAAGACACAACAAAAAGAAAGTGGGCTGTTAAAGTGCACTTTTTTTTCAAATGCAGTGCACAAAGCAAATGAGAGTGCTTCTCAAAGCTGTAAAAACGATTACGGATGGAGGTTGAACACCTCAGAAATTCTAAAATATATTGACATCCAGTCAGAATTCAGTTTTTTCCCGATAAAAAAAAAATCGTCTATCTGTACATATAAAAGTTTGTTGCTTGTGTTTTATATTCACTGTATTAAAAGTATGCCATAATGAGTATGTTGTATATTATACACAATTATGTACCGTTTATTGCACAACATACCGTCGGGCCACAATGTTAAAAACCCTCAAGGTTTCAACGCAAGTTTTGATAAGAATGGAAGAGCATTGAGAGTTTTAGACTTAGGTCTTATCATTAATCTTAACCTGAGAAGGAACATATCCAATTGTAACTAAATAAAGTCACCGACAGTGCGTATGATTTCAGGTTCCAGCATCGACCAAGAATAGACCGTTGTGCCACAAAGCAATCTTCCTTAAGACATTTAATCCAATAGATTTCTTCCAAAATATAAAAGCCATATCCCACAAGAGAAAGTGTGTCAGTCCCCTTAAAAAAGCAAACAGAAAACACCAATATTTCATTATTTTTTTATTCAGAGGCATTTGACAAGTGGAGCTGTGTGTGAAGGGGAGGTGAAGGGGCACAATCATGGTTGCAGAGGAGGTGTAGGGAATATCATGCTGAAGTTAGATCACTTCTCCAAAAAAAACTCAGAGACCCAGTCCCTCATCTGTCTTATACCAGGATGTTTCACGTTACACAGCCAAGAAATGCTAACAGAAGAAACTAGCTACCAAATCAGCGAGAGAGTGTAGCATCTGTAAAAGACGAAAGGGAAAGAAAGACAGGACTTGTATCTATTTTTGAAGTCTTACAAATCAGAAAGAAAAGGCAAGGCCCTTTTATTTTTTAACTGTATTTTTTCTCATTTTAACTATTGAATGCAAAATCAAACACGTGATTTGACCTTTCTCACAAAAAAAACCCAAGCAAAAGTTCAAATACATGTAAGCCACACCACCAAAAATAGAAAGCAGAAAGAAATAACCATCGGTTGAGGATTTCAATTAAGTCAAAAAGAGTACATATAAAACACTGGCAAAGAAAATATTTTTGATCACTTTTTTTTTCTCGATTATTCTCTCAAGTTCTAAAGAGTACATGATTTTAGTTTACGTTTTCATTCATATCTGGGGGGGAAGCATGGGGAGGCATAAAGAAGGGGGCGGGGGGCTAAATTCTAACAAATAGAAGAATGCCTCTACTTCAAATACGTGTCTAAAGAGGTAGATCAAAAC